TCCCCATTATTGCTTAAACATATAATAAACAGAAGAAATATTTACAACTGCAAACATTTAATCTGCAATATTATTATTACTTTTTTTCCCATCCATCTGTCCATCCTCTTCTACTTATCCGGGGTCGGGTCGCGGGGGTAGCAGCTTCACTAGGGAGGTCCAGACCTCCCTCTCCCCAGCCACTTGGGCCAGCTCCTCCAGGGGGAATCCCAAGGCGTTCCCAGGCCAGCTGAGAAACATAGTCCCTTCAGCGCGTCCTGGGTCTCCCCCTGGGCCTCCTCCCGGTGGGACATGCCTGGAACACCTCACCAGGGAGACGTCTAGGAGGTATCATTATCAGATGCCCAAGCCCCCTCAACTGGCTCCTCTCGACGTGGAGGAGCAGCGGCTCTACTCTGAGTCCTCCCCGGATGACTGAGCTCCTCCCCCTATCTCTAAGGGAGAGCCAGACACACTACTGAGAAAACTCATTTCAGCCGCTTGGATCCGGGATCTCGTTCTTTGGGTCATGACCCAAAGCTCATGACCATAGATGAGGGTAGGAACGTAGATCGACCGGTAAATTGAGAGCTTTGCCTTTTGGCTCAGCTATGTCTTCACCTCTACAGACCAGTACAGCGCCCGCTTCACAGCAGACACTTCACCAATCTGCCTGTCGATCTCCCGCTCCATCTTCCGCTCATTCATGAACAAGACCCCAAGATACTTAATCTCCTCTACTAGGGGCAGCACATCCTCCCCACCCGTAGAAGACCCTTTTCTGGCTCAAGACCATGGTCTCTGATTTGGAGGCACTGATCCTCATCCCGGCCGCTTCACGCTCGGCTGCAAACCGCTCCAGTGAGAGCTGTAGATCACGCCCTGATGAAGCCAATAGAACAGAATCATCTGCGAATAACAGAGACGCAATCCTAAGGCCAACAAAACAGATCTCCTCAACACCTTGGCCGCACTTAAAAACTCTGTCTACAAAAATTATGAACAGAATCGGTGACAAAGGGAAACCCTGACTGAGTGCAACCCTCACCGGAAACAAGTCCGAATTACTGTCGGCAATGCGGACGAGGCTCTGACACCGCCGGTCGTACAGAGACCTAACAGTCCCTATTAAAGGGCCCGGTACTCCATACTCCCGGAGTACCCCCCACAGGACCCCCCGAGGGACACGATCGAATGCCTTCTCCAGATCCACCAAACACATGTAGACTGGTTGGGCAAACTCCCATGCACCCTCCAGGATCCTGCTGAGGGTGTAGAGCTGATCCAGTGTTCCACAGCCAGGATGAAAACCACACTGCTCCTCCTGAATCCTTCGACCATCCGACGGACCCTCCTTTCCAGAACCCCGGAATAGACCTCACCAGGGAGGCTGGCTCACTGTCAGAAATACTACTGATGCAGTACATGTCTATTAGTACACTATTAAATCAAAATTCCTGGCATTGTCATGATTCTGCCATTTCTGGACTTTTTGGTTCTGTTTAAGTTTTCACTTTGGGTTTTCACTTTGATTTATTTCATTCTGTGTTTGTTAAGTTAGTTTCATTACCATTTAGTGTCATCTAAGTTATTTTCTAGTTATATTTAAGCACCTTTTTTATTTCGGGTTTACTCTCTGTTTCCCCCTTGTGTCAGTCCCCTTTCCCCTAGCTCCCTTCTATATCCTTCTGTCCACATTTGTCATATATACTCCTCCTCTGCAGTTACTGGATTATCTTTATTCCTGCTGGTTATCACTCCCTTGTGTTTCCTAGTCTTCATTAAATTTAGCAAGAAATCATGTCTGCATCTCATGTTTAGAGTTCACGTCTGCAAAATAATCTGTAATGCATATCAGTTTCATTCTAGAAGCCCTGGCTGATCCAAAGCAGAGGGTTTAGAGACAGCACAGCAGAGCTCATGATGAGTAAACCTGTCTTTTTCCCTGCAGTACTCTCAAAAAGAGGACAAGTATGAAGAAGAAATCAAGATCCTAACGGACAAGCTGAAAGAGGTGCGCATGGAGAATCTAATCCAGAAAACATCTCTCAAGTTTTCATTATTTGTCTTAAAATGCTTTTCACTAATATACTGGGTTTACCCTAGCTACTTTCCTATCAGACGTTTTGTTTATATGTTCTCAGGCTGAGACAAGAGCTGAGTTTGCTGAAAGATCTGTAGCCAAGCTGGAGAAGACCATTGATGATCTGGAAGGTACAGAACTTCCTCTTACATTCATCACCACACAGAGAAAAAAGCACCGAGCCGTTATGATAACTAAGGATACAGACAAATACTTCACTTACTATTAATTCTTGTCATTAATTGGATTAAAATCTGTTTTATTTCATTTATTGATAACGTCATCTTAGAAAGACCATCTTTTAGTGTTGTAATTTGGAGGCTATCAGGAAGAGCTGTTTAATCTTAAGTCCCATATCCTGCAAAATCAATTTTTGTGAACTTTTACTAAGTTATGATACCATTAG